GAGTCCGCCAGTTTTACAGTTTTCATAGCTCCACCAAATAGTCAGTTATATTATTGCATCAATGTTTTGCTGCTTCCTGTTGTTTTGCATGATTTGTACGTGCTGTTTTTGTTGCTATTGTTAGTGTCTTGTTCGTATTTCTAAACCTGTTCATTGGAGTTATACGTATAAAGTCTGTATGAAATTGGCTATAATCATGTAAGGAAAATATATACAGTAGCCATACAACATTGCATGATATATATATATTGCATAACTTATCTAGTCGCACAGTATAACTGTTTAGAGAAACCATTCCTGTCAGTGTTTGTCATCTGTGTGTAACCAGGCCGACTGGTTCGCTGATGTCATTTGTTCTTGTCAGAGCCATTGTGGACTCTGTTGTGGTCAGCTGTTTTCACTGAAGCACTAGCACCCGTCCCCGACATAATTGGTGTGGAGAGAGCACGTAACGACTATGCATTTATAATGAGGAGATTTTCAGTTCTCATAAACAGGAGGCAGGAGAGAAGAGATATGACGAGGAGGAGGAGGGAAGAGGGAGGGAAGTGGAATTAAGCCCAAAAAGGTGAAATAAGGATTGAAGGGTCTGTTGACAGAGTTGGCAGAGTGGTGGCTTTAAATTGCAGTCTGTGTGTGTGTGTGTGTGTGTGTGTGAGAGAGATTGTGTAAATGTGTGTGGCATGAGCTGTTTGCATGAAGGAGTGGGAGTCATCCTTCTCTGGAGGCTTGTGTTCGTTATATTGCCGTGTTAATGCATCCATGCATGCCTGTGCCACGGCATCAGTTTAATGGAAACAGAACATACATGAGGGTGTGTGTGTGTGTGTGTATGTGTGTGTGTCAGATCGAGAGAGAGAACTGGAGAGGGGGCATGAGATAAGAAAGGAGAGAGATATGAAGAACACCAGTGAACAAAGACATCAGGCAATTGTTGAAGATTGAGCACAAAAAGCACCAGTAAGTCTATTTAACAGCCTGCGCTGTGTGACAGCTTCCTGACTCCTCTTTTTGATAGACGCAGAGTTTTAGAGAGGGTGGACTCCATACTGAAAGAAAGAGGCAAAGAGAGGGACAAGTCAGATAAAAAAGAGACAGAGACACAGAGAGAACACCAATTTTGTCCCTTCAATAGACGCAAGGGGGAAATAGCATGTTTCCCCTTGTCTATCACTGACTCAAGAGCCATTAGCTTAATTATATGGAGGAACTGAGACTGAAGAGACTGTGTGTGTGTGTGAGAGAGAGAGAGAGAGAGACAGAGAGAAAGACGGAGCGATTTAGACACAGTGTATTAGTTTGAAATTAACATGGACAGAAAGATGCAGAGATTTAATTAGATTTCATATTTTTTTACCCTTGAAATTAACACTAACCCAGACTCACAAACCAGGTCTGCACAAGGTAGACCACTGAATTATAGGGATTAAGACTTGGTGAATATATGGGTTTACATTAGGGCATGTAAAATGGTTAAGGATTATTTCAAAATTTGGGAAATAGTTATTTTCTAGAGTGACAGGAGAAGGTTGATAGCACTTACATGTGCATTAAGTAGGGATCTAGAGCCGGGATGTGATTTGCTTAGTTTAGCATAAAGACTACAAGCAGGTTTGTTTGTTTGTTTAAGAAAAATAGAAAAACGCCACTTATAGGAGGCACACTACTTCTTGCAGTGGCAGGGAACGCTATAATTGGACATGAATTGCGTGGTACTGGTCAGTCCAATATGGCAGTGACTCCTAGGAATTCTTCTGATTTCTTGACAAACAACTGCCAGCACCTATTAGCAGCCTCTCCGGCCGCTAATAGTGCCGGTTGGTACGGCCGGTAAGCACTGGATTGGTCTCGATACAAAACTGGCAACCACCAAGTCATAGATCTAGCTCATAACTCCTCCTTAATGTTGGGGAAATGGCCAATTTATGTTTTTTAAACAGTTTCATGACAAATATCGAGGTCTAGCCTCTTAGCTAGCAGTGAGTGTAATAATTAATCATTAATGATATATTGTGTTACTTAAATTAATTAGGTTCTTTTAAATAACCTAATAAGCTACTGCTGTTGAGTTACATATAGAGTGCTGCAGGAACTAAAACCCGGAACCTAGTTAGCATTTCAGCACTTCCACTTTCCAGTTTTGCCTCAATGGATTTTTTGTTAGACACTTAGACACTATGTCCGTGGTTAACACAAACTTAACTTGTGAATTTTAAAGCCTTTACTTGTCTTAAAAAGGCTAATAAAGGCTAACAAGTGGTTAAATGAGGCTACAGAGGTCACTGACAGCCTTGTTACGTTTATACTCACACTCTTGCTAACTATTCTAACTCAAACTTTCCAACTTGTAGATTTAATTACAGCATTTAATTACAAATTGGAAGTTAAATGTTGGTGACGCTGAAGGCGTAAGACGTTGCTGTAGCTTGTTTAAAGCCTAACGTTAGGTTTTTACTTCTGGTGTTTATGGTGTTAAGATTATTTTGCTGAACAAAACGTGTAAGTGTCATAAATCTTTGTTCACCGCAGGGCTTAATTTCTGAAATAATCTAATGGAAAAATCCAACTGTCTTTTTGTTCAAGGGACCAGGCAGATGTTAACTTCCAGGTTGGCCCATAAAAAGACGTCATCCCTGTAGCGAATTAATCATGGTGCTAACAGCCTTCGGGCTTTATTGTGTTCACATCCTTCAGATATTTGGGTCTTCTCTTGCTAGAGGGCACTTTTACATTCACTAATTAATGAATTTCAATCAATAAATCAAGTAGTGTAAAAATCATTTTTAATTATTAATTAAATTGATTCCATTAGTGTAAATATTAGTGGTGTATCAGGCAGTACTTGTTCTTAGGGTAAACCCACTGTTGGCTGGGATTTGCTGACATTAAAGAAAATGACTGTATTTTAAACATGAAAAATGTCATTAGCCTTATCCTTTGTGGTTCAGAAATCATCCAGGAACGAATTCAAGTCAATGAATTGTCCTCCTGAGTGACAAAAACAAGTGTGTGTGTGTGTGGTGATGGTGGGGTTTTAGCTGTGTGAGCATACACAGAAGCGAAAGTAGTGACTCAGATGAGATGCCAGATGAGGTAGACAGCAGAGATGAGATGAGAGGACCAGAGAAAAATGGAAGATGAGTCAGGCTGTTGACAACAATTCTCTCACTCACAACCCTATCAACCATCGACCCTTGCCCTGACCCCAGATATATGATAGGGTGATGTTTGTGAGTGTGTTTGTATGTGTGTGAGTGTGTTTATGATTCACAGGGGACAGCAGAGGGGACTGGATACAGATGCTTGTTTCCTGTATGTGACCTCATCAAGAGAGCAGGAGGGTAAAACCAGGACCACAGCACACAGCAATAATTAATGCACTTGCCAAGCTGTAATGTCAACGTTGCATTTAGACAAAACCAGCTAGTAACCCGACATGCTCATTTTAAGCAATGTTCATTCCATAAAGCAGCTATAATTTTTATATTAAAGTCCCCCTCTACTCAAAAACATGCTTTTACAGTCGGATGTTTGAGCTTCACTGTGCAGAATGATGTATGTGCAGAGTTTGACNNATTAATCTGCTGAAAGTGGAAAGTTTCTCTGGCTCATTGAAAATCAGATGTTTAAGGGGCGGGGCCTAAGAGCATGATTTGTGACATCATAAATAATTTGGAGGTCATTCCTGGACCAGTATTCAATTTATACAAGTCTGATGTAGAAACGTGAGGGCACCAGTGCACATACACTGAGAATGGACTTTCTAGTGAAGTAGGAGAGATCTTGTGTCCAGCAGGAAAACCTGAAAACTAATA